TTTGCAAACTAGAAATAAGGCAGCAGCTTTAATTTGACAGCTTCAAGACCCCCCCCTCCCAACCCACGGAGAAGGGGGGAGGGAAAAAAAGGGGGGGGGAGAAGGAAGGAAGGTTGAAAGAAAAGAGAAGCCACTTGAGGCAGCCTGTTTTTAAAGTCCAACCCAGAAGCGGACCATTGCGCCTTGCCAAGATTGGAACGGGGGGGGGGGGGCGTTTCGCCTCCAGATCAAAGCCCGGCGAACTCTTTTCATCGTCCCGCGCGTTTCTTTCCCCTTATTTAGGAGCGAATAAAAAAACCAAACAGTTGGTGACTGTTGACCCCAAGACGGAGCTGCAGGTGGGGGCTCCAGAAAGAGGCTGCGGACCCCCCCCTGCATTTCTCCTCCTGCCACCCATGTCTCTCGTCCCGCGCCTTGCGCGTCCACCTGTCTCAACCTAAGGGAAGGCTAGGGGGCATTTAAAAAAAAAAGAAAGCAACGGGGGGGGGGGGAAACCCAGAAGAGACCCCTCCCTTGCATATTTCCAGCGCGGTGGGTGGGTGGGGGCTCAATCCCGGCTTGCTTAAAGCTGGCTGCTTTGCTCCGCAGAATATTCCCCACCCAGCCACCCCCGTCCTGCGCGATTGTCCTCCGCAGCCCGGCGCGACCCACGTGTGGCTGGAGAGCGCGCGTGGGAAAGCAGACCTTCCTTCCACCCACCCACCCCGGGTGGGTGGGGGGGGGAAAAGAGAGTCCTCCTCTACTCCCCCCCCCACCCGAATCTGGCCGCCAAGTGCCGCCGCCGCCTAGTAACCATGGCGCTTCTCTTCCGCCCAGATAAGCAGCAGGTGGGCTCCTGAAGGTGGCAACGGCGGGTGGGGGGGGGACACCTGCCCAGACCCCCCCCCACACACACACACTCCCCCGCGAAGAGGCGGGGGCTGCCTTTCCCCCCCGGGGCTGCAGAGGAAACGCGGGACCTGGGGTGGGAGGAGGAGGAGGAGGAGGAGGAGATAAATGGGGTGTGTGTGTGTGTGTGGAAGCCAAGCAAGGCCGCGTTCTCCCCGCATCTCGACCCCAGGGCACCCCGAAGTAGTTGTGACACCCCGAAGTAGTTGTGACACTTTCCCCTCTCCCCCACCCCCCCCTTGCCTTCCCCGCGCCCTCCTTTTGGGGCGTGTGTGCCCGCGCGCGTTTGCGTGCCACCTTGGTGCAGCGCCCGGGGGCGTGTGTGTGTCTGTGTGTGTCTGTGTGTGTGTGTGTGTGTGTGTGTGTGTTTGTGCGCGTGTGTTGCTTCCACACCTCCTCCCCCCCCCACCACCTCCCCCCGCTGGCTTGCTTTCCTCCGGGTCTTCTTTCTGCCCCAACCCTGGCGCGCTGGGCTGCTGTTTGCAGCAAACCCCGCACGCCTCGCTCGCGCTGGGGCTGCCTGCTGGGAGTCGAGCAGGGTGGAGCGTGCCCGGGCTGGCGGGGGGGGGAGGGAGGGAGGGGGGG